GCTTTGTGGTCAGGGGATATACTTGGCTTAGATGAGCTTTTTTTGACCATTTGCTTTAATCTGTTAGAAATGAGGACGAAATCGATTCTACTTTTACATTTATGATATTGAGATTCAAAAGTGAACATTTTTTCCTTAGGATGTTGTTTCCGAAAAATGTCACATACGTCAAGTTCATCTAACGTTGTTTTGAGTAGCTTTGAATATTGAGTAGGCTTCCAGCTCCGCCCCCCTTGTTTATCAAGTTTTTCTAAAGTGACATTCCAGTCTCCACCTACCACTAAGGAGTCAAGATACGCTCTATTAGTCAGAATTGTTACGAGATTCGTTAAAAAATCTTGTTGTTTGGACTTATCTGTTGGGGCATAAATACTAACGATTGACATTTTAAATCCATTTAAGTTTACATTGAGCAATACAACTCTACCATCAGAGTCTTGAAAACAACTTTCAACTGTTACCTGTAACTTAGGATGGAAGAGAATACAAGACCCCCTCGAATGCGTTGAASCATGAGAGAAATAAATTTTGCGACCCCAYTCCGTTGACCATGCTTTTTCATCCTCAATTTGGGAATATGTTTCTTGAAGGAGGAAAACATCACATCTTTGATCTCTTAAATATTCAAAAATACTATTCCGTTTGAGAGGATTGTTTAGTCCCCTGACGTTTAATGACAATATCTCAAAATTGAATGGTCATTAATTTAAAACTTACTTTCTTTGACATCCGTTTCAACTTAGCTCGTGAGTATCTTATGAATTTGTTTAATAAATAAATTGAAGGCATTATGTTATTAAAGACAACAGAACACGAAACAACAGAGTTGAACAAGGACAATAAGAAAACACAAAAAGGTGACTCTATTTTGGTGGATTTTTTTGGCGAGGCTTTTGTGATGTTTGGACTCAGTCAGGAATATTAAATAATGATTCTAAAAAGCAAAAAACTTGACTAATCTACACCAGCACCACTTTTAGTCTAGAAGAACCCTAATATTGCTCTAATTGAGCAGTAAACTTATCAAGTAGAAAGAGAAAACTCAAGAGCTCATTATTAATCCATAGACATCTAAAATTAAAACAGAAGCTAAGTACTTGATACTAAGTAGTAGGAGGAAAAGAAAAACATTATAGAAGTGCTTACAGCTCTATAAATCAGTTTACAATAGTTCAGCGTATGTACTTATCTTTATTGGTCTGAACCCCTTTTCTTTGCACACGTAGATCTTTCCGTCCAATGACCAACAGTTCTTCCATTTATTCTGCTTTGCTAGTTTACGCACCTCTGCAAATAGCTTTCTCTTCGCTGTAGTGAGGTTTTCATTTATGTAAATTGCTTTTTCGGCCTTTAAATCGTCGTTAAGACCTGCAATGCGTCTCAACTTTTTCTTGGCTTTGTACAGCTCTGACTTGATCTTATGTGACATAAAGCGAACTATAATTGGCCTTGGACCTCTCTTGACTCTTACTTTCATTCGGTGCACAATGTCAATGTCATCTTCTTCTATTTCGACRCCAACCGCCTCTCCTAACTTCATTACTATTTCTTCAAGATCTTCTTCGTCTTCCTCAGAGATTCCATGAATCTCTAAGTTATATTTTCTTGTGTACATTTCCAAGTTGTCGTGCCTTTCTTCGAGGTCATCAGCACTTTTCATTAACTGCTCTTGGTTCGTGGTTAATTGTTGTACTTGAGCTTTTAAATCTGAGTTTTCTTTCCTTAGTTGTTCTACTTCATCACTATGGAATTGAACAGATTTTTTGAGGTCGTCAACTTCATTTCGTAGCACAGCATTATCACTTAAGAGTTGGCTTGTATTTCTTTGTACTTCAAAGTCATTAGTCAATTATTAGTCAATATGATAATGACAGTCACAACCATTAAAATCTGTTTCCTTTTTCAAAAAACATTTGGAAAATTCAAACTATATGAAAGAAATATTTTTTTTCTTATTAGAAAATTGAGAGGATACTTTATCTGCAGAGACAGGAGCAAGCAACCCATCTCAAAGTAGTACCATTACAATTAGTAATGAAAGAGCAAAAGCACCAATTAGTTCATGTAGGTTTAATTAAGATTTAATTATTGAAAAGATTGCCTCATAGGCAATATGCCAGTACAATCATTAAATGAAGAAAGGAATAAATATAGAATTTCTCACATTCCTATATTTTCAGATGATACTTCTCAAAAGGAATGTCCTCATAAGTCCTCTTCTAGATCAGGAAAAGACAATTTAAGTATGACCATGAAGTTGCTACCTGCATGAAAATATTACTCACACATAATATTTTGTCATCATCATTTGTAATTAGTTGCATGCACCAAGCAAAGAAGTTGTTTAGCCTCTCAAAATGACATATTATCTGAGAGTTTATCCCCATTTCATTTTTTAAATTACAAATGTAACACATTGTATTTTCTGTACATTTAGAGAAGAAAAGAAAATCAGCCCCAGAGCAGCTGGATGACAGTCTTCACAGTGCTATAAATTAAAGGTAAACATGTAAATGGGTCAACATGTAAATGGTCAATCACCTTTTTTACATCTTTCCACATTGTGTTGAAAGGGGGGGAGCTAGAGGTAAATCCTTTTTTTGATGCACGAAGTGCATCAAGATGACACATGCTGTCATGCTAAAACCGTTTCTTGGATAGTTCTTGCAGCTTCTTCATCACTTTTTCCGTCTTCTTTCATGTTTTTGAATTTGTTATACAACCAAACAACAGTTATCAAAAAAGCTTGTGTAGGAGACTCTGATCTAAATTTATATAACAATATTAAGTCTTAATGTGTAAAAACGTGAAACAAGTTTGTTCTTTCTTGCACAGGAATTTTCACAGATGAGAAAATAGGCAAATGAAAACCAATACAATCTGACCACAGGTATCCAGATATTGCTTGTTGCTTACCTTTCTCAGATTTCTGTTTCATTTTTAAATAATATGGTATCAAATGTAATTCTGCAATATTCTTGCCAGTCTGTATATTTTGATTAATTTCGTTATTAAAACAATATATCTTTTTTGTTCTTGTAATCAATTGTAATAAGATATAAATAATCACATATTTACAGACAATAAATGTTGTATAAAATAAGGAACTTTGATTAATTTTCTACAACAATCCTGATCTAACAAACTCAGCTCCATTAAGGCATGGCTTTTCGCGAATTTCAGTAAAAAATTCGTAAAAAATATTAAAGTGGTCAATATTAATGAAATTTGTCATGATTATAGAAAGTCGACAGGTACACACTTTTAGACAGTAATCTGTTGTTTTAGTGATCACGTGACCTCATAAATTTGCATTTTTGGTGGGAAAATGTAAAGGCCGTGAGGTAGTGGATTTTAGATGTTCATCGAACTGATTTTGGCTGTAAGAAGTAGATAATAGATTAMAATTAATGAATCTAATTGGATATTTGGGTTTAATCACTATGCAAARGCAAGAAAGAATTTCAAATTCGTGACTCAATACAAAAGGGGGTATAACTCGTTCATTGTGCTATACGAATACATTTTCCAAATGGATTGCGAAAATCTATAACCTGAACAAAGTATAAGTTAGGAAAAAAGCGTAATCCATTAATTTATTACGTTTAAACAACAGCAACAAACGTCTAACTCAATTGTGCATCGTACGCTTCAGCAGGCTCATGAACACCATGGTAAGCGGTTTCTTAAAAAATTACAACAATACTTCATGTGATGCTAATACAGTGTCCCCCGACTTTAATAACCAATGAAAGGACCGTAAAAGATCATGAAGTGTCTAGCTATAAAAAAAGATGGCTGACTGAAAACATAGCGTTTGGATCKTTTTCCTTTATATTTTTGCAGTTCAGACCAAAATAGAGGTCGGAAATTAAGGTAAACAGTTTAAATACTGGTTTGGTCACATCACTGGTGTATTTCTTGATAGTAATAACACGAAATCTTTAAAGAATTCAATATTGCTTTTAACGAATGTGGGGAACAGTTCTTTCTTTTTTCTTTTTCTTTTTTTTTTAGTTCTTTTAATTTTCTAAAATAGATAATTTCACAAGAAGCTACCCGGATTGAGAGCCACGTTTACGAAGTGGAACTTCAGAAAGGCTAAAGAAAAGGCCGAAAATTTAGAAGTGTTTTCTATTGAAAATTGGAAGAAGCTTTCATCCCCATGAAAAAAAGAACACTCTTTTGCAAATTGCAAAGGCTGCAAGGTTAGATATGTTTCTACTCAACCATATTTCCCGGTTAAGTCAAATGTACTGAAGAGTAAGGCAAAAGCCAATCCTGTATTTGCTGCTGATACAGAAGTAAGGAAACTTAAGGAAAATTGTAAGCCTACAAAGAATGCGGCTAACGCAATATATGATAAAGTGAGTCCTCTATTTGAAGAGACATTATTTAAAACAAGTTTTGCTGAAGCCTTGGCTTATGTCCCTGAACTAAATCTCCAATGCAAAACTCCAAATGAGAGGAGGAATGAAAGGATGCATTACTACAGGCACTCAAAAAAGAACATGGAAAAACAAATGGAAGAAACAGCATTTTTAAGGTATATTAGTTCATATTTTACAAATAATCATATCATATTATTATATTATATTATTTTGTAGATCTCCTTTGATTCAATTAAACTAACAATTTAATGCACTGAGCTACATAGTAAGATAGTCCTATTGGTGTCATGAGTTAAACGTACATACATTAAATGTGTGCAACCCTTACCACTATTTAACCCTTTAAAGTCCGCGATTTATTTTGGATTTAAGGTTGTTTTCGAGACTGATATTTCAAAAAATTAAATGTACCCCATATATGGAGTTGTCAATCAAACTATTGTAGATTCACATTCTTATGAGTTTGTTTACATCAGCGACGCCCGGTGAATTTGAGACGGGTCGCTAAATTAGCCAGCACTCGCTCTCAAATTCGCCCAAAAACCGTTTTTAAGTGATTTTTCGAGTCATTTGCTGCCACAGAAGCCCCTAGGACTGCATTATAAAGCTCGACTAGGCGGCAGAGACACTCTTCTGGAAGAAATCAGAGGCGGGAAGCGATTTTTCGAAGACAATGTCGCCAATACGAAGTTAGCTTTGAATTGCCGACGTTAGAGAAAGGTCGCCTCCCTAGTCGTTCTGTGGCAGATTTCAGAACCTACCAAGGTAAAATTGGCAAGTTTTAACATCCAAAGAATGCAATCGGTGCAATATTTTGCCTGTAGGTGCGAGTGGCTTG